CAGGAGTTAAATACAATCAGGAGACAATAAAATATGTATCCAACAACCTAAATTTCCTATTAAATATCATTAATTATTTAACTTGAAAAATACTGTAAATATTACTGCATAGTGAGAACTTTGTACTTTTCTTTCTCATAGTCTTGTGAATCAGCCTCAAGCAAAACATGGTCACTTCTTTGGGGAGAAAAAGCTTTCTTTTCCTTCTATGAGCATTGGGTGACCTTTAATCACTGCTTTCTAAAATAAAATGTAGCACTGAGTGGTTAAAGGCTTCTGCTAAAGCTGTCAAGTTTATTTGTTCAATAGCAGGTAAAAACATTTCCTTCTGTTTTTTAAAAAAAATATATTTTTTTTCAAAATCGTGACATTTTCATAAAATATTTTGACTGATCAAACAAAATATTTTCCATGTCTTTTGACAAATGTTAGAATAAACTCTAATGTTGTTAGTTATATTTCAGGTGGAATACTTTTCCCTCTTTAAGCTGCATCTCTGTCATTTAAAAAAATACATTTTTCAGACATAGAGTCTTTGCTCTTTAAGAATCATACATTTTTGTGAATTAAACCTTAGTTCATACACTATAAAACAACTTAAGGTTAAAGTGATAACACTGTTTATGGTAGAAACTTGCTTCACTTATGAATTTTAATAATTGGGATTATTGATGGATTTTCTAATTCTTTTTTCAAATGGAGGTAACATCAGTTCACAATACTGTATAGGATTTAGAGGTATAGGGTCACCCCACCCCCATCACCACAGCACCCATAGTCCTTCCTCTTAGTCCACTGTGTCCCATCCCCACTTTGCTCTTTCCCCTCCTCATCACCCTCGGTCATCTCCACTCCAGTGACATTTCTAGGGCTTCGTCTTGGTTTGGCTTTTTCTGAACTTTATTTTGTCTCTCTCTGTTCCACATATAAGTGACACCATGTGGCATTTGATTGTCAGTTGTTGAGCCATCCTTGTGATCCTGGAATGAATTCACATGGTTGTGGTTGTTTGTGGTTCTATTTATTTAAGTCCCCTCCCTTTTTTTTTTTCCTTGAAAGTCTGCTTAAGATCTGTCTATTTTATTTTTTCATTCAGCTTTTGGTTTCTTTAATCTCTTGGTGGGGGTGGGGAGAAAATTTAATATCCTCTCCTCTTCATTGGGGTCCTGGCCCTACTGACACACCCCAGCTTCTCCACACATATCTCTCCTCAGTTAAGGATGCAACTTCACCCTAATCAGCAGTCTCCAGAGGGACCAGCCGGGCCTGGGGCATAGCCTCGCACCAGTCTCCCAACCCAGTTTCAGTCTCTAGGCATCTCTCTCCACCCACTTTTTTTTTTTTACAGATTTATTTTATTTATTTATGCATACAAGAGGTGGGGTGTAGGCCAGAGGTGTGGTGGGGGGGTGAGAGGATTCACCAGAGACAGAGTGGGGAGCAGAACAGGCAGATCTACTGAAATAAACTGCTGAGGGGAGCAGCGAGTGAGACATTAGAGGTCTGCTGCTCCATGTGTGTCACCTCCCTGGCCACGGATCAAACTGGTGCTGCAGTGGCTGCTGATAGCTTCATAGTGCTGAGACTTAATCCCTTTTGCCAACAGGGAGACCCCTCTCCACCCACTTTTTGCTTAAAGTTTCCTCAGTGTCCATTCTGCATGGTCAGCGTTGGTTCCTGATGTACAAGAGATGCTCTGCTTTTGCCCCGAGTCATGGAATCCTCTGGGTCTAGTGCTTCTTTAGAACATTTTCAGATTATCCTCCTTGGAGCAAAGTAGAGAATCTCCTTTGATGCCATCTTTTCCATCCTCATCTACTTTTATTTTAAATATGAAAATGTACCAACATTCTTATCTGCTCATGTGGAATGAAAATGTACCTTTTGGCACAACTCAAATCGAACCAATTCATATATTAGTTAATTAATCTTTGTAATGATTCCCTCAATAAAACTCATGTATAGTGTTGTATTATTTATAACACTTTATTTAAATTTAAGGTTTAATTAAACAGATATACTCTCTCTATACTTACTGATAGTGGTGGATTAAGTTTTCTAAGTAAAATTTTAGGTTGCTTTGCTATGTTTTTCACAAATTAGGAAAAACTGATCTAAAAATTTATGTAATATGGGAATGTGATTTTCTATGACATTAAAACTTTTGTGTACACATTTATGGAAGGAAAAAAGTCAGTAACAAAATTGAAAGGAGACCACTTGAAGTCTGTATCTATTACAAGCAATAGAAGTTTATAAACATTCCCTCAACCTTCTTCCTTGTCTCAAAATTTAAAAATAATATATATTGCATAGGGTTCCCAGAATAACAGATAATATTAAAATATATATGTATGTGGTCCATAATAGGACAAGTAATACACCTGGTAGTCTAACCTTGAATTTGTGTAAATACTTGGCTCAGTTCCTAAAATAGTGCTTTATGAAAAATTATTGTCTTGAAAGTCAAAAGTAACTTCCTAAAACTTGTTCCAATAAATATGTTTATACATATATATATATATATATATATTTAACTTGGTAATACAAGGTCAGGTTCGCAAATTATATCATCAGTATGTACTGCCTGTGCTTCTAATTTATATTGGGTGCCCTTATGTAAGTATTTTCATTCAAGATTTATATACTCATGGAATGCTTAACATCAAATGATTCATCCTGATCAGGTTTAGCATTGCATAAGTGAAGAAATTAAAATCCCAAGGAGGTTACTGACTTGGTTAATAATACTGTCATGTGTCATGATGAGATATTTTTTCTGTGAACTATTTCATTCATTTCAAAATCATATAAAACCTAAAACATGAAAGCTTTGTTCAAATTGTATTTCTGATATGCACATTCCTTCCAAAGCATAAATGATATGTATAACCTGTTATAACAAAATACTTTTTATTCATTATAAGTCCAAAACTGTTTAATGTACCTGAAGACCAAATGATTTGCCTCATTTTATGACTTGTTTTGATTATACAAAGTGAAAGAACAATACAAGGGGAATATTACATTTGTAAAATTTCTCTATGTTCTGTTTCTGTAACTTATATGACTTGAAGTGGGAGGGAATAATATTCCAGTTTTCCCAGTCATTGCTTAAATTCCCATTAGAATCTTGCACCAATTACTTAATTAGTAAGATCAACATGATTATCTCTCTCACTGTATCTCTTATGACATAAACTTTGGTCAGGGAAGGTTTTAAAGTGGTCTCTTGGTAACATTTATAGAACTGAAGTGAAGACAGCATGTTTCGAGCTATAATAGACTTCATGGAAAATCTTTTGTTGGGGAGAGAAAGAAAAGATAATAAACTTCTTAATACCCACCCACATTTTATCAAAATTCGAAACATATATTTTGAACTTCTTTCCCTGTAATGATTCTTACTATATTTAATAGGCTTTTGTGATGACCTTTTGTAGGTTTGACTTACTCATGAAAAAAGTGAATAAAAAGGAAACAAGTGTTTCTAGTAAAGCATGTTTTCTCATTCTGATAGACATGAAGTTACTATCCTAAAAAACAATTTTGATGACTAGGAATAAACACTGCTTTACTAGGGTACTTGTACAAAGTATGTTTATGCATAGATTCTATTTCTCTTGTTCTTATTTTTGTGTCCCTTAATCTCTCTCCCTATAAGTAATTCACATAAATTGTTAGAACAATAAGCTATTTAATCACAGCCGATAAAGATACTATTATTCTTAGTGTAGACAGCAGAGAATGGGTTTCTCCTATGTACTAGACCAAAGTCTAGTGGATTCATTGAGAGGCATTTCTACACAATAGAAAAAGAATTTGCCATCTAAATATTGGTCATTACAAGAACAGTGCATTTCTTTTTTTTTTTAAAGCATTTTTATTTTTTTTATTTTTTTTAAGATTTATTTATTCATTTTTACAAGCACTGGCCACAGTAAGAAGTGCAGGAGGGTGAGAGAATTCACCAGAGCCAGAGCAGGGAGCAGAGCAGGCAGAAGGACCGAAGGACACTGCTGAGGGGAGCAGCGGGCGGCAGGAGAGGTCTGCGCGCCATGTGGGACCCTCCTCCAGTGGCCGGGGAGCAGCTAGGGATCGAACCGGCGCTGCAGAGGCTGTAGGCAGCTTCACAACCCAGCGCTCAACCGCTGCGCCACTGGGGAGGCCCAAGAACAGTGTATTTCTTTATTGTAGTTTTCTTTAAAAGTAAACTACTCAATTTCAGACACATCAGGCACATGTGAATTAGGTGTTTGTTTTCTGAGGTGTGATGCTATTCCCATTGGAATACTAGACTGACCCTTTAGAACGTTTCAGATGTGTGAGTACTTATTGTTGAGTAGTTATTGATTGTTTCTGGGGCTATCAAAATCCTAATGTTGCCTCAATGAAAGATAAATAAATAAATAAAATGTTCCACAACTAAAATGAAAAGCAAAAAAAAAAAAAAAAGTAAATATCTATGCTCTATAGCATCTAACAGAATATTTTTAAGGAATGTGGTTTTTATTATGGGAATATCTTTTTTTTAACAATTTTGTTTTTACATAGAAGAACTGGGGTACAGGCCAGAGGTGTGGGAGGGTGAGAGGATTCACCAGAGACAGTGTGGGGAGCAGAACAGGTGGATCTACTGAAATACACTGCTGAGGGGAGCAGAGAGCGAGACAGAGGAGAGGTCTGCTGTGCCATGTGGGTCACCTCATGGCCGGGGATTGAACTCATGCTCCAGTGGCTATGGATTGCTTTATTGTACTGACACTTAACCCCTTGTGCCACCAGGGGGGCCCTATTATGGGAATATCTTTATATATGAAGCAAAACAGTATGACAAAGGACACTGTATGGATTAATACATTGAAAATGAGGATTCAGTTTACTGATTCTCATTTATCTTCAAGAACCACAGTGATGATAGAGAAAGGACGTGATGCTCATAGAAACTTATTTTTTCAAATAAATGCGCTATGTTGTTTTTTTTTTTTTTTTTTTAACAGTATGAAAGATGCAGGAGTAGCTCATAAGCAGTGGAGGGGTCCAATATCTACCTGCAAGCCATGCCCCGTGGTCCACCCCAGCCCCGTTTGTGGTTCAGATGGCCATACTTACTCTTCTCAGGTAAAGATAATTATAGTATGAAACACAAATGCATATTTATAAGTGATTGAAAGTATTAATGCTATAATGTGATCATCCTAATGATTTATTTAACTTTTAAAATAATGCGTCCTATCTTGCTGGCTTGGAATATGATTCAATGTAAATATGTTTCTCCTCTATAAGAAATTTTTAATGTTTGAAATATAAAGCTGTAAACATATAGAACCCTCAAATATTGAAACTAACTTTACCTTTACTGCTACTATAAAGGGGTCAGAAATGTTATCGTGCCATACAGTAATTGCAATGGTTATTACCATAGCAACAAAAGCATCTACAACCTGTTGAGATCATTATTTCTTTTTTTCTTGTAAGTTACATCCCATATTATCTCCTTTAAGTCTTCAAAAATCTTCCAGTGCATGAGAAAACTAAGATTGACAAGAAATAGCAAATTTCACATATTTTTCTGATATTGAAGTCAAACTTTGATATCATTTTTGATTCAATGTTTCTGTTCTCTACTATATATTATTCTGCTTCCGTATTTGGTGTTCAGTATTGCTCAAATATTTGGGAGTTTTGAAAAAATTTACTTAACATGACCTTGATGAGTTTTCTCTGATTATGTGACAGAAAGGAAAATAGGCTCATGACCTCTTACCTGAATCTTTGGGAACAGATACATTTATGGGTTTAGATTTTTTAAGTGTATAGTTTAGAAAGGTAACATACCATATCATATAATGTCCTCATTGGAATCTAATTAAATGTATTAACATCTCTTTAAGAAACTGTATGAATGTTCACATTAAATAGGATACCTGAAATATGTAAAGGAACCTTACCTCAGTTCATGTCTGATTTTGCTTACTGCTAAGTTAATTTCAAAACTTTTTGGCTCTCTGAACATTTTATTTTTATAGATAACTCTTTGTCTACCATATTATATCCTAGTAAATATTTTTGTAGATCTTTCACTTACTTTTTTTTTTCTAACCTTAGTAAGAGCACTACAAGGATAAAATAAATTCAGTTAGTAAATATGGGCATAATACTTATGGTTGCTAAGTACTATATGTCCTTAATGAAGCGGCCATGTGTTTATATGCTAAAGTTTTAAAGGTACATGTAGAGATATAAACATTGCTAGGGGAAAAGGTATAGTATAATCAGTCTTCTCAACAAGATGATGATGTTGGTAAATTTATCATCATGATCCCCCCATCTTTGCAAATTTAGAAAAATCAATGTTGTAAGCAAAAAGAGAATGAGTCTATATTTTATTGTTAAATCATACATGATAACGATGTATGAACTATTATGTTGATTTGTTAAATTACAAGGAAGAATGCAGATGGTAATATTCAAACTGGTAGGTTAGAGCTATGTAGGAAGCATTTTAATCCCAATTTTACTTTCTCAACATTGATGGTTAAACAATTTGAGTCAAAGGAGAGATTGGAATTTTTATGAATATCCAACTTAGACTTGTGTCTTAACATTAGAAATAAATGTGACAGAAGTATGATTATGTCATATGTTGTATCTAACATGCCTGGAATGTTAGTCCATCACCTGCACATTAGTCCACCACTTATTTGTGCAGGGTTCTTTGTAAGATGCTCCTTAGAGATAATCCATCCTCCCCACAAATTAGTTTCACAGGATAAGGGACCAGGAAAAAGACTAATTATAATAAAGTAAAAATCAAAATCAATAGGCAACTAAAAACCTGAGACATACTACGGGGATGGGGGAGAAGGAAGTATGATCAAAACAAGGGGGGTGGGAAGTGTATGGGGATTATAACCAAGATGAAAATGCACATATTGTGCAAAAATGAAAAATGATATAAAATGATATAAAATAAAAATAAAATAATTAAAATAAAAAAAGAACAGATGGATGATCTTGATTGAATATTTGGGACAAACACAGTCATCTACCTTGGAGTGACTACACATCACAATTTGACTAATTCACTAATTCCTTGTTGTTCTCCTTTGCAGGAGGCACACTGTAAAGTTCTAGTTTACAAATCATATAGATTTATTAATATTGTCAATTAAGCCATTCTAAATAATCCATACCTCTTGGTCTTGACTTGATCAATGGCAAACCCCGCGATAATAAACAAGTGGGGTGTTTGAACCAACCAAAGTTAAAGTTAAGAGCCTGAAGTTTGCAACAGAATCTGCAATTACCATTCTTCAAATTGATAATCATATTAAACTGGAAATCAAAGATGATAAGCATGGAGGGGATGAAGATGCTGTTCACGCAGGAGCCCTTCATGACTGATTTGTTTTCTCTTTAATGTCAGATGCAATTGTCTCACCCCTTGAGTATTAATATTAAGGTACACCAAGCCAGAAAAAATTAATAACCCATACTTCAATTATTATTTAATACTTCTTTGCATAGACACCACTCTCAGTGAATACCTTATTATAATAGAAAGACATAAATAGAACATGGTTCAACTGAGTAAGTTTTTAGAAAGCTCAAATTGCCATGCGAATTCATTCCTGTTAATTCTAATTTATCAAGATGACTTACTGTAGAGAACCAAGCCTAATCTTAAGTGTATGAACTGGCAACAATGTATCTGAGCTACATAAAATAATGGAAACAAATCTTAGCTTGTTAGTACATATATTAAACAATTTTCATTAATAATTTTTATGTTATGGGATTTGAAATTCAAATTAAGGTCCTCATATTTTATTTTGATTTATGTAAGAGAAAATATTGTCCTAGACTATGTAGATACTAATTGTAAACAAAGACCACAGGCAAGATATTGATAAAGCCATTCAATTATTTTTTCAATACCTCCTTATCCACAGATAAGAGCAAGAGTTGGATAGAGAAGTTAGAGGATCTTTCTTCTGGTTCTTGACTCACTAAATATTCTTTGTAGACCAAGGAAACTCTGACAGGGAAAATTTAACAACTTTTTGAAGCTTGTGTGCATTTGAACTAACAACAATGGTTAGCTCCAAGTTCTAAGCTCAGTATGGTCCATGAAGCTCCTTTCTTGATGCTTCTAATCCTTCAGTTGAATCCTGGTAAAGATTGACTATAAAGATTGGATATAATTGTGACTGACTTCTGTAAGTGGTAAATCCATAGTATGGAACCCTGCCTCCAAGATGGAAACAAAGTCCTACTCTCCAGACCTTTTTACTCATCTCCCTGTATTTTGAAACCCCTACATTGATACACAGTTCTTTTTTCTTTTTTTTTTTTCTTTTTACTCCTACAAGTAAATTCCTACAGGTTTCATTTTAGACCCATAATATTTCCTCATCTCCTCATTACTTTCAGTTCTATTCATAGAGATAAAATTATAAATTATATTTCCACTGAACAACTTAATTGAGGTGACATCATTATAAAGTATAGTAGGTATAAGAGCTGGGAAAAGGTGCAAAAGAGAGTTATTATCAATTATCCAAAGCAAGAGTTTAACCAGATGACAATTAGAATATAATTTTGAAAAGTTTATCTCATTATATAATGTGGCCAAATTAAAATAATTATTTTATTAGAATTTAAGTTCTAAACTTGTCAGCTTGTCTTGAAATCCTCAACAGAATATTTATAACAATACATGAAAAGAAAAAGGAACTGGGAGAAAACTATGAAAAATAGATTACTTGAATAAATAATGAGAATTTTTTTTTTGATTTTCATGAGAAGCATTTTTCTAACATCTATTTTTTCTTGTTAAGAAAAGCAATTGACTTTTTAAAAGAGTTTACTTAATCTTTCTTTTAAGAATAACCAATGACTTCTAAATTCTTTCAAATTCAGCAATGCTGGAAAAATCAAAATATGTCTGTTCAAGGTTATTTGAGAGGTAATCATTCCTGAAATTGACACAAAAGATGAAGGTCCTTGTTTCTTTACTTCAGGCAAAATCTATTTTGATTGTATTGTCAAGCTTCAGTAAGAACTAGAAATTGTTCTCCAGTCCAATATAGCATCTATATTAGAACATGGATATATTTGTCACTGACTTGTGTAAATAGTGAACTACATTCACTGAGCAGAAGTCAATAAATAATATTAATGTTTTAGGATTCAACAGGGCATCCATATATAAGTTCCCTAGGGACAGTACATTGGATGATTTTTGAACTCTATCCTATCATATTTAGTCATGCAATGCTTGTCAGTTGAACTAAATAATGATAAATTCCTTAGAAATGAGCATTGTTTATAAAAAATTATGTATGTGTGCACATGTGTATACCTGCATGTGTGTTTTAAGGGAAGCAAATAAAAAAATGTATCTATTTTATACTGGAATTCCAAACTCTGGCTTATAGAGATGCTACTTAAATTGGTCTGATATGGGGTCCTGTAAATTTGAATTTTAAAGGCTGCCCAACTGATTTTTATATATAGCCATAGTTCAGAACCACCATTGCATCCCTCCAAAGTATTGCATTTGAAATCTTAACTATACGGTTCTTTGTTTATTATAAAAAGAATTTTAGCATTATAGAGGGAATCATTAGCTGTCATAATTTGAAAAAATATCCACTTTAAGATTCATTATTGCACTACTGTATTTCAGTCTTTCTTTCCTTTATTTTTTGAGTCATTTATTACTTTCTCTGCATAATAGTTATTAACTCTATCAAGTGTATGTGCATTTTGAAAGTTAGAACATTTCTGACTCCTTTAGACATTTGGTTTGTTGCAACCCATTGATATTTAGTATTTAATTTTCTTATCTGTGTTCCTCTAAATACTTTGCCTGAACTGATATAATTTTATGTTGAAAGGTCAGCTGTCAGAAATGGGTATCTGATGTTTTATTTGAACTGCTTTCAACATCAATTAGGTTTTACTGCTGGCTTTGGAATGGCAACCTGATCAAGATTAAAACTCTAGCATATTATCAGAATCATTGACTGGGATAAATTCCTACTAAAGCTCTGCACATTAAAGAAAATAATACAAGTGAACTTTATCATAAAATCTCAGATTTAAAAGGAACT